TTTTGTATGCATCGTACCTAACAGCATTTTAAAAACATATATGTACAATAAAAAAGTAAGGAAATCAGAAATTTGCAGTCTACCTTCTAGATTTTAGTTATAAACATATGAAACGAAGGGGCAATATGAAATGGTATGAGAAGAGGAAAATACATAAAAGTACACAGTTATGTTTACATATGCATAAAAACAGGCAGTAGTTAATTATAATAGATGTTTCAGAAGAATGAAGGATTATAATAACAGAACCGTAAAATAAAAATCCGCTGATATTTAAAACTCAAAGTGAAGTTAAGCTGATTTTTTAGGCAATCCGGCATAGGGCTGGAATTTGCGTAGACGTAGGTGGTATTTACTCATAACATTAGCTAGTCACCAGAGGAGATTTTAGTCCCAGCCATATCCAGGTTGTTTACTACTCAACATTGAGGTAGAACTTCCACCACACTGAACTGCCCAAAATACAGTTTTGCCAGGTATATTCACCATGATATTTGATTAATTTGACACTCAGCAGCTGGGATTAAATGGAGTTGAATGACTGAAAAGGTATGACATAAGGTGTGAGGGTAGTTCATGTAGATTCAGTGCAGCTTTCGTGATATGTCAGGCTGAGTATCCCACTCCAGGTTTGTATGAAAGGATTGTGAATATATTGTGATGGTGCTTGCTAGAGAAACAATTGAATCAACTAAAAAAGGAACTGAGAACAGCATTAGTGCAACGTTGATTATTTTAAATGTGTCCGATAATACTGACCGTTTCTGTAAATGCTTTGGGTGAACAAAGCTGTTTAGGTACGTAATTCAAAGGGGAAAGAAACAATATCACGAATTTTCAGTATGTGGCAAACTGTTTCAAGACTGTTTTCAGAGAAATATTTATTTACTAGATAGGTGAATCTTTGTAATGTGGTGCTATTTTTGATTTCACTTGGCAAGAAGTTCCATGTTTGCCTATATTTGACTGTAAAGAAGTTGGACCGTAATTTCGTTCGACAAAGAATATGACTTAGAGAAGACCCGTTGCTGCGTAGTTCATACGTCGAAGAAGTAAAGTTAAGGTTATTATTGGGGAAGTATACTATTCCTTTGATTATTTTAAAAAGGAGAATGAGGTTAAGTCGGTGGCGCCTGAACCAAAGGGGTTCGATCTTAAGAGTTGTGCAACGATAGTTGTAGGGAACTTTCAGACTTGTTCCTAGGATTCTACTTGTAAATCTCCTTTGAACACTTTCAATCTTTAGTTTGTCCTTAACAGAGGTGCTGTCTAGGATAAATGGACAGTACTCAAGGAGGGGCCGTATGTGTGTTTTATAAAGTAACATTTTAGATTCTCGTGTTTGAAAGTTATGAAATATGAATCCAAGTAATCTTCTGGCTTTAGAAACTTGGTTGGTGACATAGAGAGAGAATTTAAAGTCGGCGGAGTAACGAAGCCCGAGGTCAAGTACTGAAGGAAAGATAGTGATAAGCTTGTTGCACATAGTTATGTGTGGTGTGATACGTAAGCGAGCTGGGCATAACAGTCCACACTTCTCCACGTTGATCTGCATCATCCACGACTTACACCATGTCTCAATATTATCAATATCCGATTGGATTTTATGAGACAGATTTGTCACTTCTTGGGTGGTACTATGGTAGACTATCTTCAAGTCGTCGGCATATAAGAAAGGTCTGCCGTGCTTTATAACATCACAGACGTCATTTAGGTATATTAGAAAGAAGAGAGGTCCTAGTACACTACCTTGAATCACGCCACTTGATATATGAGTGGTACTGGAAAAAGTGTCGTTAATCTTAACAGACTGGGACCTACCACACACAAATGAATTGCACCACTGTAAGAGATTGCCAGATATACCGTAAGCCTTAAGTTTTTGCAGGAGTAAATTATGACATACTTTATCGAAGGCCTTCTTAAGATCAATATACATAATGAGCACAACGAATTTTTGGTCTGTAAGTCCAGTTATAAAATCGAATAGTTCTAAGTGGCAAGTCATACATGACCTGGACTTTATAAAGCCATGCTGAGAAGGTGTTATGAGGTTTTCAGTCAATAAGAAGTCAGTGATTTTGTTACTGATTATCTTCTCAAGTGTCCTTGACAAGACAGACGTTATATTGATTGGCCTGTAATTCTTTACATTATATTTTAAGCCGGATTTAAATCTAGGAATAAATATGTCTGCTTCCATTTGGAAGGATAAACTCCATTCACAAGGGACGTTGAGAATATCTTAAGCAAAAGGAGAGGAAGATTAGAGTCACCATTTTTTAGGAAGGATGAGGGAATAGAGTCAGGTCCAGGAGTATTGGAGAATTTCAATGAACTGATTGCACTTTTTATAATGTCGACAGTCAAGCATATATTTGACAGTGTTTTTTCTGTTACAGAGTCAAATTCAATGCATGCGGAAATATCGTGCATGTATGAGTCAGAAAAGTGCTTGTTAAAGAGTTCAGCTATGCCTGCATCATCCTTAACAGCAACATTATTATGAAAAATGTAAGGAATGTTGCCTTGTTTTTGTTGCAGTCTCTTTTGGAAGAGTTTACATAGAGAGCTAATTTTGCAGCTACTTTTAAGGGCGACAAGTTCTTCTTTGTAAATTTAACTGGCATTATCTGATCTGATTTTATCATATACCTTTAGGATGCTAATGAGCGAGGAGAAGTCCATAGATTTATTATAGGTTTTACGGAGTCTTGTTAGCTTGTTCCTGGTAGCAATCGGTATATATAGTTGATTTACACGTTTGCCTTTGGATGTATACCAAGGGATAGATTCGTTGAAGCAAACTGAGATGTTGGAGTAGAAACTGTCAAGGACAGTATCAATGTCTACCGAGGAGAAAAAGGTATCCCAGTCTTGGCAACGAATAAAAGACCGCGTTGTTTCCCACTTAACTTTTGAAAAGTCCCTAACTTTTACTGCCCGACGACGGTCTTTGCCTGACCTATTTGCTGCTAGGTTAAAGGTGATTTAATCCGTATGTATTTATCACTTTGATCTGGATTAGTTTGAAGTAGGCCAGGTTTATTTTCGTATGTTCGTTTTAATCAGGTCTGCAACCACTGAAGAGACGATTTAACCAGATCAGCAAACTTAGTTAGCCTCCATAATAGTATCCTTGGGCGTAACTTTTATCAATCCAACATTCGGAAGACCAGCAAGGACTAGAATAATTCGTCTTTGGCAGGCTCTGGATTCTGGAACTTGAGGGCAGAAGTGGAGATGGTGTTTGTCAAATAAATGTGAAGAAAGACACATAGCTTGCTACGAACCACAAATTTGCTTGCTCCAGACTTGTCCAATCGTACATAGTCTACCTCTCTTCAGTTCTCTATAGGATACCAGTTCACTTAACGTTGTTGTCCAGTTTGTTTTGGGTAAATGGCTAGTCATTAAATGTCACTAATCGAGCTAAAGGACGCTGATATGATAGCTAATGTTGCCAATCCTTTTTAGCGGCAGTTTGAAGACCGTACTGTTGGCAAGCTGTCGTCGGCTTTTGGTGTCTGAAACTGCTGCGTCAATATCAGCAATCTTACCCGAGACAGTGAAGTCTACTGTCAAGGAACTCAACCCTAAGTTTCTATTATCTCCGAAGACGATCGAACTGACAATTAATATGCACAATATTGACCTTAACTCCAAAACACAAGAGCTGGTAATAAATTGTATTGTTCGGCAGTTAAGATCAATACTTTGTACAAAGTCTATAAACAAATGTTTTACAAGGAATGTTTTGTACTTCTACACGTATTCCTTCATCTTTCAACTTGTACACGACTGAATCATTTGCGCCTTCGAGTTGCCCGCCTGTGGCGACCAAGGCCAATGTTCAAACGTTCAATGTTCACATTCATTTACATCTACCGTCACTTCACTAGCATATAAAGTGTTTTACACCCCAACTATATTCTTATTCACCACGACAACGGACAAAGGCAGCCTCGTTGCTTCAGCACACTGGTTCTACCCTTCAGGTACTTTATAGTGGGTCAAGTACTGGCTCTGTTGAAATGTGTGTTAACTAGTTGCAAGCAATAGTCACACAAAACAGCTGTTTCAGGTTGGATAAACAGTGCCCCATGCTGTATGTCAATCTTTTAGGTCATAACGGCAGTCCTCTTCTGATTTAATAATACCGGATGCAAATATGAAGTTGAAGTGAAACCATTACTGTAAAAAATTTAGAAACCAGATTCGACATAGTTATTTTTCCCAACCGAATCATTCCAGATATTGAAAACAATCACTAAATTTAACAATACCTACTCAAACAACAAGTTCAAAACAGAGCATAATATCGAAGGCAACATTCGAAAACGAAATCGAACATATGAATGAATGTTAAAAATACATCTGATTTATAAAATGATGAATACAGAGGTATTGTTATAGCCACATATGGGAATCAAGGTACAATACTTTTGAGGAGGAACCAATGTTCCTCAATCTGGGATTTAAACATGGTAAAACTGGAAATATATCTAGCTGACAAACTGGTCCTCCTGCATAAGACAACCTGTTCAAATAGGCGAAGGTAATTGTACTGAACAGGCATATAAAACAGACTATCCTTTTCTAAGTGCCAGGTTTTAGAGTAAAAACCGGAAGTGACACTCTCGCTTTGATGATCTTGATAAGAAAAGAAAAATGACTTGCGGAAACTGATGGTAATATAGAAAGTATTTTCAGCGTGTCACCTCTACGTACGATTAAACTGTAGATTCGAATTATGAACAGCATTAAATTTGTCAAACTTAACTATTTGATGAGGAATGAAGCATAAACTCGACAGCTTCCTATGTCCTCAAAATCAGCAAAGACGTTTGCAATGCACTTTTATGGGAGTGACCCACTTCTAAGTATCTAAAAGGAAGAATTCAACTATTTTACAGATCGATGCAATTAAAAAAACCAGCCACCAAGAGAAAAGTCAAAATTTACCCTCTTTTTTTTGAATGAATAGCACTTCAAGGTCTAAGAGATCTATATTGTTTTAACCAGTGAGAGTCACCGCTTTAGGAACTGTGAGCTAAAATTCAAATCAAATTATCCTAATGGAAACTGACGATCTGAATACTAGTGTGGCTTTTGAGATACGTATACGAGATCAAATACGATCTCCAAGTTCAGTACGGGTGTCTTCTTCTCGCAACCGTGCACCACTAAGTGAAATCGATCTGACCGAAAAACTCGAAAAAGCAAGTCAAAGACGATCAAGTGTTCTGGCAGTAATGCTTTATTTTTCACTACTCGGAATTCTAGGAAACAGTAAACAAAAGTGAGCAGCATGTCCAGCTTGTAAAAGCAAGGATTGAGCAAGGCAAGGAAAAAATTATAAACCGTTCCAACGAAATAATGGAGAATCTTGCCGAAGATTTGGCTTTAAAATCATCAAGAAGACAACAGATCATCGACAAAATCGTTACTAGCAACAAAAAGGAGGTATATTGAATAAGCTTTATATCACGTTTAAGGTTGAAAGGGCGAAACTACTCGCAGACGCTCGTTCATCTCCTCAAAGATCACTACTCCAACAGATAAATGATGACATGTCGAATAAGGAGAATAATCGTCGCTCGTATATTCAGAACATCGTGCAGCAATGCCAATCTGAGGTAAGTCTTTGGTACTAATTTCCAAATTTTACCGTATTATTCCTAGTTTCATGTACTAGTTTGGGATCATAGACACAGACGTAGGAAACGTCATTGAGCTTCTTCCAAATAAGTTTTTAGAGTAATAAGGAGGGAATCTAGGCCTTTTTGAGGGAAAATATCGCGTCTCCCCATAACATTGCCCCAATATTTTTAATTTGAACCTCATGTACTTGAGGTTCTGTGCCTGTGTTTACCATACTGTTAACTGCCCAGTTATCCATTTGGCGATGAAGATACTTTTACGTGTATTGCGTCCAAAGTTAAAGTCGTAAGTGAATACAAACAAGCAGCAGACGGATGACGTCATGTAAAATCGTTTATAAATGATCCTGGACATCAGTGTATATACAGGGTTGCGGAAGATGGTGCACGATATCCCTACCATCATCCCTTCGCGACTAAATATTTGAGTGGTACTTCTGTAAACCTGAGCATGGAACTCTTAAACTAGCAACTAAATATTTGGAAGTCAGTAAAACTTGGGCCTTTATAAGGAAAGTCGTCCGAAACACTTCACCCGCATCTCGTATGCGACTCTGGAGATGCAGCACTCTTCAATGCTGAGGCTTCACAGACTTTCGGCGAAACCTATCTGTTGTCCAATCTACACGAATTTTTCAATATTTTCTCCGTGTCCAGCTTATTTCAAGTGAAACACTTGTAAATAATTTACCGAGTTTGTGCCTTAGTAGTAAATATGTTACCGTTATTAACGCTCCTCGAGTTAGGGTTAGTTTGAAGAGATTCCCCGCTTACAGGCATTCGTTTTAACATCATTCACGAGTCAGCTGAATACTTTTAGGATGTGTTCATAACTTATTTCCCAGAATATTCCTACTGATATCTAAATATTAATGTATAAACGCATATTGTGCACCTCAACGTTGACTTTTTGCTAATGCTACTGATACAGTTTCCCAATATTATGTTGAATGTGATTGTTACTGAGGAGTCATGCCAGGGGAACATCATTCAAATAGCTCTCATTAAGGCTCAGTTTTCCGTTGCAGACTCTTTTTATGCACTAAGCTGCGCCTGTTATTTGGCAACTGCTGAACCTACCTTAGTTACCCAGACTGAAGCAGAAACTGACACTGGTTCGTTTCGACTAAGAGTTGTGTTTAAGGCACTCGGCGACTTCCCTTCAGATTGGATCACAGGCTTTACATCAGAACTCAAAGCCAACTCTCATGCTATGGTTTAATCACGTTGTCTCCCTGAAGAACACATCTACGACCCATTCTGGTGCCACGTCCATCCATTTCGACTGTGGTAGTCATGTTAGGTATCTAACTCCATATGGCTTCGTCAAAATTTTTACACCTGAGGATTTTAAACCCCTTGTGTCTGTATTGATTTCAACACTGGCACACGTGTGCACAAACTGGTGCACGCTTGTAGCTCATACAGAAACGACAGTCTTCAATCCATCCATTCTGTCTGATATATTGTCTACATCTGGCAAATATTTATGAAACTATTCAGTCAAATTTTAATCAGAGTTCGTATGAAAGTAACTTGTGACCTTGGTGTCGACAAGTTAGACGTGCATTGTGTCACTTTATGGTAAAATTTGTTCTCAGTTGACACTAGTACAAGAATCACCAGAAATACATCTGCTCTTGGTATGAACATAGTGCAGAGAATCTTATTATTAAAATCTTGAACAGAAAAACATCTGCATACGAACCTTGATCGTTCTGCCTAGATAGATTTCATGTACAATTGCTAGCTACGTATAAGTTGTAGTCTTATACTTTCGAATTATTGTCTGCAATGTTTATATTCTCCTCTCATGTACTTGAATATATAAATATCTGTTCAATTTTATTGTAGATTGAAAAGGTTGAATCCGCACGATCTCGACGTTCGGCCAATAATAGCAGTGCTGATTGAATTACCTGATAATCTTCTTTTTTATGACGAATAATGCATTTCACACTGTCTCTGCTATTCATATATATACATATTCTTTGAGATGGGACCATAAATAAATTTATATAAATGTACTACTTTTCTTATATCTATTTGTAATGATAAGTAAAAACAGTTTTTTTTTTGTTCAGCGAAGAAATTTCTTTTCAACGACTTCATTTTCAAGCTGTACAGTCGTATTTATATTACAGAAAGCGTTATTAAGTGGCACTAAATAATTGCTCAGTCAATATACATATATGTGATAAGAATAACGATTATTAAAATGTTATAAGGGGTAGAGTTGAAGTGGATAAATTACAAAATTATTAAAGATTGTTTTATAAGTGAATTGAAAAATGTTTTAAAAATGTCAAGTGTTGTCTAAAAATTTTAAAATTAGGAGTACGATTACGATAAGAATGAAGATGTGAAGTGAAGTGGAAAGAATTCAAGTGGTAAAATAAAGTAAAAACTAGGGGGAACATTACTATGACCAAGGTAAAGAAAGGGGTTTGACAAAACGTTTTTGAACACATAATTTAGGTTTCTGTTCATGTATAGCTAAAGCTTCGGCTATGCATAAGTGAAGAAAACGTAAACTTTTGGATCGATTCGATTTTGCCATGTAGATAACTTTGAAAGATGAATCACGTGGGGCTAAATGACCTGACTCTAACAGGTGATCACAGATAGACGACTTCGCGGTTCTACGTTCGCCTTTCATTAACCAGACTGGATAGTGTTCAGCTACACGTTTTCGGAGATTACGCTTACAACGTCGAATATAAACAGCTCCACAAGAGCAGGTAAAAGAGTAAATACACATGGATGTGGACAAAAGCGGTAACCTATCCTTGACGCATTGTCTAATCATATTTCGGCTGGTAAAAATTAGTTGTAAATCAGCTGCAGTAAAAGTACGTTTAATACATTTAGATAAACGATTTTTAATCAATTCCGAAATAGTGTCACCTTTGAATGCCAGACTCATAAACAGTTTCTTCTTTGGCACTGTAATTTGTCTGGGGGCGTGTTCTTTCTTGATATTACGTTCGATAAACCTTGTAGGATAACCATTATTAAGGAGATTTGATCGAAGCTTATCTAGTTCACTATCGATTGTCTCTGTAGAGCAGATTTTACGAATTCTAGAGCATAAGGAATGAATAAGATTTCTCTTTCTCCCTAACGGTACCCAACTGTTAAAGTTAGTGTACTGCCCAGTGAATGTTGGCTTTCGGTAAATCGACCTTAGCAACGTACCATTCTTTCTTCTATCTAGCTTTACATCAAGGAAGTGAAATGAGGAATTCGAGTTGTAATCAGTTCACAGTTGTATGTGGCCTTGTTAGTTTCCGAAGCAAAAAGGAACGGAACTAATTTATGTATAGCAAGCAAATTTATTTAACACTTTAACTTTTGTACAAATGGGCGAAATATTTGCGCAGTATATATATATATATATATATATATATAGTCAATTCATACTCCCGGAGTTTTGTTGGAACGCATTTGTTTGGCGGTTGACAGAACGAAGCATGTGCTGACCGAATGGCTGTAAAAAAAAGTACACGTGAAAAGTGAATTAACACACAGACAATCAAAGCAATTGTAGTTAAGATAATTGGACCCACTACCTTACAACCAAGCAGACTTATTCCAACCATTGGGTACAATTAGGTTGGTGTAGTTACCTATTTTGTGTCTCACGATAAATGTAATTCTGTGGGTAGATCGATTAACATATCTTAGCAATCTAGACGAAGCACTTATTTTCCGATCTCTATTTAGATAGTATGTATGTGATACTGAACACAATCCTGTCACATTGAAATGATTGCTATATGAAAGAATTCCCTGATGGCCAAAGTACGGACGAATATGAGTGTCGCTAAAGATAGACTATCACCTCTAATATCTTAATAGAATAGTTTTTTGTTTATTAGGCTATAGAATTTTCACTTTATAGTTTCTAAGCTTCATGTGTGCATATTTACTTAAGACTGTTTTAGGCACTCACTGGTTACCTATCGTTTGATATAAGACGCTAAGATAATTCGCATTAGTGCACAGTATAAACTACGGTAAAAACTTATTACTGCGGAACAGAAGCTGTTGTTGCTGCAATTCTGTATGAATGTTGAGGATGCTGGATTAAACCAATGTTGAGACTGGTATTTAGAACTGAACTCGACAGTATTATCATTTTTACCTCTTTGAGCAGCAACACCTCCATCTCACTCTGTTCTCTGCATTTCTTTTTGGCTAAATCTACGACTGCGTATAAGCTTGCATCTCCTCTGTGTTGCTGTCGGAAGGGTTCCTTTGTAGAGTTTGGGGCTCGATTATCTCAGCGCGTGTGTTTTCTTGTTGCTTATCCCTTTCAGTCGGCCATTTGATCTTCAGTTTAGAGCCGTGAAATTCTGGAAATGCTCATGACGTCCTACGTCTCTGAACTATATAGAAGCACTAACTTGAAATAAACGTTGAAAATCCGAGTGCTGTAGATATCTACAGTGATTTCTAGTAATGAAGACCTGTCCGACCCTAGCTTTGACATCCTCATCTGTGCGGCCTGTAGTTGAAAGGGTACTGTTTAGATAAGTGACCTCCTTCAAACTACTTCCGTTGATAGTGATTGTTGTTGTTTGGTCGTCTTCAGCACCTCTGTCTTATCTATGTTCACTTGAAGTTCTGTCTTCTTCGCCCGTAGACCTTCGAGTGTGTGTGAAATTCGGCATAAATCGCCCGCGAAGTCCAAGTCTAGTTAGCCCAACGTACGGATATCTTCACCCCTCCCCAAGTACAGTTTGTCATATGGTCCAGTCCCTTGGGAAGAAGAATATCGTTGGTTATAGCAGGCAGCTTTGCCTTATACCTGTCCTCACTTAAAGACTTCACTCAGTTTTTCGTTGTGAATCACTTGATATTTGGCATTATCATATAGGTGAGATCAACAAAGGTTCGAAGCAATTCCTAAATTACTTCACTATCAACGCTGTCGACGGCCTTTTGAAAGTTGATGTAGAGATTTGACTAACATTCAATGGTCGGTTTGATAGTGATGCGTAGAGTTGCAGTTTGGTTCGCATATTACTTGCTTTTCCTGAATCCAGCTTGTTCAAGGCTGAGCTTTGTACATCCATAGCATCTTTTAGTCTCTCATAGATGACGCGACTTAATATTGTGCTTGGCGTGAACAGAAGCATAATTCGGCGGCAGTTTCTCCAAAGGTTTAAGTCTTCCTTCTTTGGTAGTTTGACAAAGTAGCACTTCTAATTGACTGCTATCTCTCCTTCCTTGCAAACCTGCGACAGTGACGTGGAGATATCCGCTGAGGTCTCCCGATACGTTTTCACTGCTTCTGAGGAAGTTCTGTTTGGTCCTGCTGTCTTCCTAGCTTTTGATAACTTCACGGTACTCAAGACACATCCTCCCTTTGGTGTCCACCGACAGTCCCGCGACTGTTGGTGTTATTTTTGACCAAGCTTCGTCTCCACTATCTTGAGATTGAGGCGAAAGCTATCTGAATTTTAGTGCATCCATCTAATGAAACCCATCTTACCTTGTGTTTGTACGCGTTGCCTCCAATTACTAAATTATTGGAGGCGCAGAAGTCTGCAAAGAGTTCTCCGTTCTCATTCATTTCGCCAAGAGCCTCTCCATCCAACAATGGATTCCTTTCCCGTATTGTTTCTTCCCAGTTTGCTTTGTTTTTTATGTAGCCCATTAGCATTCTGATGTCACCATCTGCGACAGAGGCTTGTCCATTACAGTTTGTAGTTGTTTTGTAGAAGTCTTCCTTCTTCTCTTAGTCTACGCTGTTTGTAGCAGCGTGACAACATAATTGTAACTTTTCCACATTTCTAGTTGAATCCTCCTGTCATATGATACTGGAGGGCATTGGTTCCCACTACATAAGAGCTTTCGATGATATTGGTGACAACATGAGAACCACTTCCTCAGTGTGCTCGTCGCCATGGTGACGGGTGTAGATAATTAACTCTCCAGTTAACAAGTTGAAGCAGTTTATTTCATCGGCTCACACAGATTCCTATTACTTCTGTGCTATATCTTCACATTTCTTTTGTAATCTGAGCAGCCTTCACAATTTCAAACATCCTATGGACATTCCATGTCCCAATGTTTATTTTTACTTCCAACGAGAGCAGTCACTACACATCTGTTGACTGGCTTCCCGAAGCCTTTTTCTCCAGTCCGCGTCATTTCGTCTCTCCGATAAGTTTGTTCATTTGTTATATTTTCTTCTGTGCATTGAAGTTTCTGTAGTGGTAGGTTGGGTTGACTTTCCAGGGTAGGATGGCTAGCCCCCCCCCACCCACCCACACACACCCAAACTCCTTTCTTTTTTCTCGGGCATAGGACCTACGGGGCTAGTGAACCAGGCGAGGTGTGTACCAATGATAATTTATGGAATCCAACTGGAAGTTTACTGAAATCCAGAGAAAGCAACACCTGATAATTTTATTCAACAGAAATTTAAGAACGGCAGTCAGGAATTCCTGGGCATTTATTGGAGGATTAAACCGAAAAATGCTTTCCTCATCGATCGACCCGAATATTGTTGTTGATGCCTACTATACAAGTAAGCATTAAAGGCTTATTTTATAATTTTAGATAAATAAAAAAAAATAGGGTAAATCTACGCTAGTGTGAGAGATTTTCAGCCAAATCACACTAATAGTCTCCAAGCCATAATTCTTCTTAACTCGGGGTCTGTAGTCTGGGCTGAATACGTGACTTAGATTAGATTAACAGTCATTGATAACATGGCTTGGTGGCATGTTTTAAACTCACCCAATCCTATTTCTTCTCCAACCCAATCCCTACTTCACAACTACTTTGGCTCGTTAGGGAACACAATACAATACTCGGCGCCTATCTCTCGGTGGAGCTTACCACCAACTCAGATTTGGTGGGGGTTTTTTTCAAGATGAATAAACTCAGTATTGCAAGGGAATGTGTTTTCTGGAATAAAGATTGGTCAAAGGTACACACACACACACACACATATTTTAGTAAAACTGAAGAATGATAAAAACTGTACATACCAGTGAAGGAGTGGGGGGAGGAGGAGGCGGCGGCGGAAGAGGAGAATCATTGGTTTTACGTTTAGGCGACCAAATATCATCGCATCCAGGTCCAAGACCAGAGTCCAAAGGAATTTTAGACTGAGAAGTGTTCTCTTCATCACTGACTGAATTATCCATTAAGGAACGTAGATGTGAAAATTTCGCCTGTAATGCTCTAGCAATAATAGCACATGGATCAGAGCCACTAAAAAGAGGGGGGGGGAAAGAAATCGTTAATTTGTGATAAATATATACACAGAAACTGGATGAGAGTTATGACTTACAAAACAGCAGTAGTAACATAGATTAATATTGATATACTACCTGATATTGTGTTTAAGTACTACACAAAAACTCACCTGAAACTTACTCATCTATACCTTGGAATAATTCTATCCTCTGAATTTTGTTGATTATCTCATATCTTGTTGGTTTCTAAGAAAATATTCCGTCTAACCTACTACATTAAGGAGTTAAAACTGTCTATCTGTCTGTCTGTTTTCGACAATAGAACTTTGCACCGATGTGCAGCAGTTCAAGTCGCCACACTTCACTTAGCTCACAAAGTAAGAGAAGAAATGCATAATAGAGACAGTAAACAGAGGTGTAAGACACAGGAATAGTAATAACGAAGAACAAAACAGTTTCATTGGAAATCATAAGTCACAAGGAGTGGATGCATCTGCGCCAGCCATTGAGAACGATCACTTTGAGCCATGTCACCAATTGTTTCCAGCCATTGGTTTTTACCGTCCCAAAAACCCCAACCAGGAAGTCTACACCTTCCTATGTGGCTTAAACTAACTGTTGTAGATTTCATTGACTGCTGAAACCATGTTTTGGTTTGACCACCGCTAGCTCTTTTCCAGCCTGGCCCTATATCAGCTAACATTGCCTATTGTCGAGGAAGGCTATGACTAGGCATACGTAACATATGTCCTAACTATCTCAGTCGATGTAATTTCACGGCCTCGTCTATTGATTTCCCCTCCAACTCACCTAGCATTCGACCGATGCCTAACCTCAATATTGCTCACTCTATTATACCATTTCACACGGGAGATAGAACGCAGACACCTATGATCAAAGATAGAGACGGCGTAAACTGGCATATGCGAAACGTCGGAACTGGACGTCTTTTTCATTCTAGTTTGAAACTCTTCAGCAGCAGGCGCCTCTTACAACTCCATCAACTAAAATCAACCAACTCCGTACAGATCAACACTTGAAGAGTAGAGCTTAACCACAGTGAAGCTCAGCATATAGGAAAGATAATTGTCAATAGAGCACTGAATGCCAGTGATGCGGCGCTATCGTGAAGTGACAGACGTCAGGGTTCACTGGTTATTCAATTTCAACCAAATGGTCAAACGGTAAATGGGTTCTTCTCGTAAACTTAACGTCTTGATGGTATCATGAGTGCACACTACACATAGATAGTCCCAAACTGCGACGAAAAAGCAACAGTTCTCTAACTGATATCTGTACGTGACGACGCCTTTATATCAACCAAAACACTTGGTGATATATATATGCTGTTAAGTCAGAAAGCTAGTACCTTCATGAACTACCTGGTACAGCCGAGGATGAATAGACCTCGGTCTTCTTCTTCTTCTCGAAATGCTCTCACCTGGCCACGCGTTCATAGTCTTTGTCAGGTAAGTTCTATTTACGTGCCAGAGGTGTTGTTCATAAAGATGAAAGGGTGAATGAGAACATCTGGCCTAACTCAGTGGACAATCAGTTCTACCTATCTAGGGGAGCTTGGAAACCATAATTTCAAACCTGTGGTAGACATAGGCTCCACAAACCGAACGAATCAAATGGTGTATGAACCTGTTCCGGACACTGGACACCAAGGGAACTCAACTCATAACACTACTCTCCTGCCTTGTAGATCAGACTTCAAGTCAAAGGTCCAGGGAGGGGAGTGGGATGACCACTTAAGACGACCACCACCTGCTTCAGTCCATGTGCTCAGGTAGTATCATACCCGCTCACAAACGATGACATTTTGTGTGATGAGGCATCTCCTGGTGACCATAATGTTAAAGGTTTGTTTAGTAATAATAATAATTATTATTATTATAGTAACAACAGGAAGAGCCAATAAAATGACTTTCTAATAACACTCGAATCTTACCTGTGGATGGGGGATTTCTTTTGTCTTATTGGCGTACCTCCAGGTGATCTTGGAACTGTACGTAATTTAATAGATCCAGTCTGTAGTTCCTTTAAAACACTGGACATATCACCACCACAACCACTGCCAGAATGTTGGGATGCTGAAAGGCTGCCTTTTAATGGTGTAGAGACTTTATCTGAAGAATTATTCTGAAAAGAAATAATGCAAAGGGAGACATAATACATAAAAGTAAACTGATTTTCACTATATAACGACTACTTATCATCATCATCTTAGAAGTAGTATAAGAATTAGGTACGGGAATTTTTGTATTTTCATGTGAAAAAAAGGGATATTGCAATTACTTGACTAAGTTCGCCTTTCGAACATACTTACTTACATAGGATTGGAGTAAGAGAGAGAGAGAGAGAAAACAGTTGACAAGATTGTCTAAGTTGTTTCAAGTCGGAATATACATAAAGATAAAGAAGGGAAGATGATTGAAGGTAGCGGAATGAAAGTCTGGATCGCAGCAGAATTCGAACTAAGGGCCTCAGAGTTAGTAGTCCGACAGTTCACCAACTAACCTCACCAGGTTATCATCTCACTGCAATCATCATGGAGAGTGCCAAACTAGGTCGTCTCCTGTCAGATATGAGCCCCTAATCTTACTACAGCTAATTATAACACCACCCTCCCCCAAGTCGTTCACATCTCTACCTACATGTAGGTTGATGATATTTGAGTCCTTAAACAGATGAGTCACACACACAACCTCACTAAGTATAATACACAATCCTGAGATTGACTAATAGAATTCAGTCTGCAACAAACAAACGTCGAATCAGATGGCTAGGATATGTGTTACGCATGCTTAGCCATCGCCTTCCTCGATGGTCAGCCTGAATACTTCAGTGGTAACTCGGATTCGAGTAAATCTCAGGGACATGACTTCTTTTAAGATTGTAGCAGATATGTCTTTCCATCCGGATGATGAGAGCCGACAGGTACGAAACCCAGATTAGCCAAAGTTTCCTACCGGTTGCCTCCAACCATCTAATAGTTCTGAGATTATAGTTCTTCATAGAAACAAGATGACTGGCACTATCCACATTGATATTATAAACAGTTAGAGACCACCACCACCTACCACCATACCAACAATTGTTCAACATGGAAATTGAAAAAGGTATACACACACCTGCTTAGTTTAGCCAACGATATATATATATATATCAAAACTGATAGTATCGTTTAGCTTTTTTTATTCCTTCACATTTCCATTGGAACATAGGGCTTCAAGCTTGAAGTTTCTGTAGCAGTGTTTATTATTTTCACAGGGTTGCTAGCCTCATGCCCTCCAACCTTTCCTCTTTACCAGCTTTTACTACTGGTTTAGCGAGGTAAAGGAGTGCGTCCAGTGGCCGGGGATCGAATCCCGGACCATATGCATGGTCGGCGAGCGTCCTAACCGTTATGCCAACGACGCATAGCATAGCGTATTATACATTTGTATAGTTTACTTATACTGGTACCAATTTCGGTTGAGTAACATTCGATAAATTAGTCACTCTGATACAGATAATCTACCCTACTGTGAGTGGTTGGTATTAGATGGTTGGAGGCAATCGGCAGGAAGCCTTGGACCTAGGTTTCGTGCTAGTTGGCACTCATCAGCAAGGCGTATCTGCAACCTTGAAGGAACTGATGTCCCTTCTGAGATTCGAACCCGCGTCACCCAGTGCTGCAGTCAGAGACGTTACCACTGAGCAATCAAAAATATCCAATACGGTCCTACAGGAGGTCAGTCGCGAGCCTGAATAGCTCAGTGGTAACGTCTCTGACTGCAGCACTGGGTGACGCGGGTTCGAATCTCAGAAGGGACATCAGTTCCTTCAAGGTTGCAGATACGCCTTGCTGATGAGTGCCAACTAGCACGAAACCTAGGTCCAAGGCTTCCTGCCGATTGCCTCCAACCATCTAATACCAACCACTCACAGTGCACCGTAATGGCGAGCCACCTAGCATGGTGGCCACATTGCAAACATGACTGATAGAATTCAGTCTGCACCGAAGATAGGACTAGATACATTACACTAGTCACTGACTAGTGTGCAATCAAAAAAAATCTACCCTACGCCAGTAAGCCGATCAGGGTGAATTATTATTATCCGCATAAGCATAAACACATAAGGGAGTGCTAATCTATGACGTAATCATAAAACATAATCATAAATGTGTCCTCCTTCCATATGGAGGGTAGAATAAGTCATAGTCGCCAAAAATGAATCATGAACCCACACACACACACAAACACATACAGATCTTGCCATGAAGTAATCGAAATGCAGACAAACAATTTAATAGAGACATTACATATCGATCTGATGACTATCCAAATTCGAAATCAAAAGGTTGCAGGTCAGAGGTCATTACGATAATAATGTCACACTATAAAAATAGCAGTCGTGATAGTGTGTTTCTTTGTAGGTATGTATACACATTAAAAAAGAAACTGCCATGTATGCGAATTTCATGTTTTACAAGCAAACACACAAAGACATCAGGACACATAAATACACACACACATACAATAGCATATAGAGCATTGTTATAAATGAAGCTTAGTCATAAATGAGTAACAGCTTTAATTTAAAAAATTAAAACAAAAAAGTTACACTCGACTCAGCGATTTTTTATTCAATAAACATTAACATTTAAGGATAACAATTTTAGGGGTCATTTTATATGACTAATTTATTTTCAAGTAATGGTTTGGTAGGGATTTTGTTTAATTGCATAGAGGATTTCATCATGAGCTGACATCAGTTAGAGAACCACTGGAAAACCTGGGGGTACTGGACAGCTGTTTCGTCCTAGTTTGGGACTCTTCAGCGGTACGCGCAAATATTTAATGAATGACTTGGTGGCAGAGTATTTAATTCAATTAAGATTTTCCCGACAATAAATTAGATTGAAGTGCTCGGTCTCAGGTTGACATGACGGCTACTTGTGCAGATGCTTCGACGATGTCTACTCATGTAACTTGAATTCAGTTGATGGATGGTGACTAGTAGTGAAATCCAGTCAGGACGCATTTCGTCCTATTTGGGACTCGTCAGCAAGTAGATGTACATGCATTCCCCAATGAGAGTGATGGTGTACTCACCGGGGCTCGAATCCAGTGCCCGTAGTTTCAAACGCCAAAGAGTTATCCACTGGAGCACTTGAGCCACCCCTTTCTAGGGGCAAAGAGTCTTATTAATTATTTGATTCAACTTAAATTTTCCCGTCGATTGATTGGTGTTTGAAATCACGGGCACTGGGTTCGAGCCTCGGTGGGAACACCATCACTCTCACTGGGACTGCTGGCACATCCGATTGACGAGCCCAAAACAGGACGATATGCACATCCTGGCTGGATTCCACTGCTAGTCACCTTTCACTAATTGACTTGATGGCACAGTGACTGTTGGAATAAAAATTAGACGATTTCAAGGGGTGAGAAAGTTCCCAAACTACTTCTACTTAAAGGTTATTATAAAACTGAACTCGACTGGAACAGATTAATCATTTAGCAGGCTATGAGTGGCACAATTATTGTTTGTGTGTGGGAGGGGGAGGAAGGGAATGCTGATTACACTATGCACTTGGCCAAGTTGAAATAGGTAAAGCAAAACCCACGGACTATTAAAGCCGAGTGCATTAGCCAACATGCCACTTCATTGGCTGGCAATTGAATCAGGTCTGCGTCCCAGTGGCTGAATGATCTGCAAGCTTGCCTTGTAACCGGAAGGTCATGGGTTCCAACCCTGGCCGTGGGTGCGTACAACCGATGAGTCCCAAACTAAGGGGACGAAACAACTGCCCGGTACTCCCTGTTAGTTTTCAACGATTATTCTCTAACTGATACCAATCTGTGATCACAATTGAATAAATATTTTTTTTTAAATTATTATTTAATTCCTTCGCTTTACCACTGGGACGTAGGGTTTCAAGCTCGAGGTCTCAAGTCTCGGTAGCGGTGGCTTTGTCTTGGATTTCCAGCCTCAATGATGGGAACCAGCATAAAATAGTATATTATCCTTTCTTACGAATTTTGTGATTTATCTCGTGATGGAGTTACTATGTTAGCCTATCATTTCTCACGCGTATATTGTGATTTATTGTGTGATCAATTCATCATCTTTTGTCTCACCTTGGTCTTTGTCGAATCACCAACCAATCAGAATAACTATTGCCAGACAAAAAGAACAATCCATTCCCACGTCTGTGAGCCAATTTTACTGTGGTAATATATATATATATATATATATATATATATATATATATATATACGCTATCTTGCATTTATAGATCAGCTTATGTCTTTTGATATTTGCGTGGCTCAGTGAAGCGGGAGACACAACGGACAAATAGACGTATTAGCGTACTAGTCGAGTTCTTGACCGTTAATATAACAACTAGCTGCGCAGATATAACACTCACTCCTAACCTTCTCTCTCTTCAACGGCTATAATACCGACTGAGTGAGGTTAAGGAATTTATTTATTTATTTAAACGCAGAAAAAAAACTTGGTACAATAAGGCACCAAGAAGACGCACCACACAATAATAATAATAGAACAGCATAGATTAAAAGTAAAGAAATATAAGTAGATAACGGATAAAGAACTTCATCAGGGAGGAAAACTGTCACATTTAACAAGTTCAAACAGTATTCGTCAACTACCATCAGGAGGGGAAGAAAGAAGGAAATTGCAGCATGTTTGCCATTGATTACGATTCTTGGCCATATCCGATAACGTTTCGAGCCATCGATTCAAGCTGTCTCTTGGACTCTAACCAGGGAGACGTGACGCACCAACCAATGCTAACCTAGCACAAATATCCTTCATCCCACGACGCCACGTCATGGACTGACCACCTCTCCGCCTTTTCCATCCCGTCCCAGGGCTAGCGAACAGAGACCTATATGGAAGCCTCTGGGATGACATTCGCAGCACATGTCCAAGCCACCGGAGCCGGTGTTTCCAGATGACGACACTCAATGAATGGTGATCTCCACTGTGTTCAAACACACGCCGCCGAACCTCAGAATTACTCATGCGATGATGCCATCGAACGCAAGCAATCCTGCGGAAACAGCGATGATCGAATACACAGGGTCGCCTCACATCCTCAGATCGGAGAGGCCAGGTTTCACAGGCATAGAGCAAGACAGCCCGCACCGAAGCATTGTATACCCGACCTTTGACAGCCAGGCTAACGTCGCGACGGCGACAGAGGTGGCTCAAGTTGATGTATGCCACCCTAGCCTTCATTATACGGTTGGAAATTTCATCCGTCATCCCTCCGCCAGCACTCACACAACTACCCAGATACACAAACTTATCAACAACTTCAAGCGGTTCACCCGCAAGAGTGAGTGCAGGTACAGGCTCCTGCCTGGCAAGGAATCGAACCCCGGACCATGTGTGTGGTTGGGGAGTATTCAACCACCGAACCATCGACGCATACATCGATAATAGTAGTAGTAGTACTAATAATAAGAATAGAATACTTTACAGCTTACCTTTTTACCCCTTAACTTCTCCTGTAACTGATCCCTCCAATTACCACGACTTGTTTCTTCCACCGCAGTTGATAACATCATAGGTGGAAGTGGAGGAGGGGGAGGTGGTGGCGGCGGCGGTGGTGGCGCTATTGATGAAACTGAAGTTGAATTGTTGTTAGCCACTTCTGATTTATTATACACTTTAGTTTCATCCTGTTTTGCAATACCCGATCGACCGGTATCACTTTCACCATCTGCATCAGGACGATGCAGTAGACCACTTTGATCTGCATCAGATACACTTGATCTACCCATTTCTTGAGCTAATATTAACTGGGCAATTTGTGATCTTAACCTGGACAGTTCTGCTTCTAACTGAGAGATACGATTTGATTGGGAGGCGGCTTTTGTGGAATGACACTTGGAAAATGCATCATCGTCATCAGAGTCTGTAAATGAAGTACTATCGTGCATACTGCTGGTAGTAGCAGCAGCTGTTCTTGAGAGTTTTCCTCCTACTTCTCCTCCTCCCAATCGTCTTCCTAAGGGGATAAGGATAAAAAACAATCATCAAATGGACAAAAAAGTAGTTAAACTGGCAAAAGTTAAAACACCTTCAAAAGTAGTAAGAGAAATATTGAATAACGCATTAAAGTACAAACTTTTACACTACTGTTTCCTATTATCATTCTTATTAAGACACAAGCATGGTACATTATGGGCACACACACACACACACAAGAGATGCACTACACAAAACCACATAGTTTGGTTTGAAGGCTATCCGGACGCCTAGACCACAGTGCTCGGCTACCGCCGCCTTAAAGGACTACCACCTGTTGACTTGAATTCTGGTCCACAAGGCAGTAGAGTAGCCTGTGTAATGTAGAGTGTACTACTGATAACATTTATCAGTAGTATATGAAGAAACGTTCATCGGCCGGCATAAAAACATCAAATAGCAGGGAGAGATAGATTTGATGTCAGAGAAAGCAAATGATTCAGCGTTGATGAGATACATGGGAGACTTGAAAGGAACACACAAAGAAACACACACAATATGAAGGAAGGCCAGAAGTAGCACAACACGGAATGATTTGAAGATAAGGCGTATATAATTTCGCTATATAGACATACCAAATTCTCTGATAAACATTCCTTTACCAAGTCCCTTGTCCTCTACCGTTACATTAGGAGTTGAATTCCCACGGTTGCTGGTAAACAAAACAGGTTCATGCGCCAAATGTAAAACTTGCAGACTGTAGTGTTATGTAATTCCATATTATTATTTTTGTTTATTAGATATACTACAGAATTATTTTTATATATTTTAAATATTCATTGAAGATAGATGCCCATTGAGAATCTAAACGACTGATTACTGAACAAAGAATATTCTTTGCGATCGATTTGTCATCATCAAGTACTGGGACCAGTCACCATACACACATTTTCACAGCTTTCTTCTTCAACGGTATAAGAGAAATGCGGTAAACACCCTCACAGCTGATAGGATCACAGTTATTTGTTCAGAAGATGCGATGAAAGGAGAACTTAAAGTTGTACACGACGCGATAATTGAAAAGCCTCCAAAGCCTCAGGATGGTCGGAGGTGAGTGCCTTGCGCTGTGGGTTGGCCACCCCTCCGCACACCTCTTCAAATGCTCCCATATGACCGGACGTCTTACATAGCCTCTCCTGAGGAAGTCCTACTCACTGCCTTCACGTGGCGGAGGTGTTTTTCACCAAAGCGGGAGGGCGAAAGAGGATGCCCGGCGCTCTTCACCGGGTTGACTGTCCATTGCATGACAGTCTAGGCGAGATCGCTAAACCCTGATTCCAAACCTCCAACGACTGGCGTATGAAGCTCACTGGAGCTCATCGGCAGACGTATGGACAAAGGGCTTGTTGGATGTCCTGGATGTCTGGCCCCATTCAAAAAGGCGTATGAACCGAACTCCGGTCACCGGCTGCCAATGGATAGTGGACTCCCTACTCCACTCCTACTGCCTTGTAGGTCACACTTGGTTGTGTAAAGGCTAGAGCTGCACTCTCAAACAAAAGGCCGAACGATTCTGGGGACATCATTCGTACCAAATCCCCATGAAACTTCATGAACTCTCTTACATGGCTTGGTACAGTCAAGGCTGATATGGAGTGCCTGGGGCTACAAACCGTCTACGGACTCCGTCTGTGGAACAAGAATTGGATAACCCTGTCGCAAAACCTTGCATCAGATCGCCGCGCCTGGGCAGCGATGATTCGAGATGTTTATGAAGCCGGCTCATCCTCCCGTAGGAGATAGCCGAAGTGAAGTAAAGTAGTAAAGATACTTGAAAACAGCTACCCTGAAAATTTTATCACCAAAAACACATGACGACGAGAGAGTAAAAAAGAATTCTTTTGTATCTGTTAGCAACAAACCTCTCTCCCTTTATGCATGACTACAATTCAAAGGTGATAGATAGATAGGTGAAATAATAACCAACAACAATTTGCATAAATCAATGGTTTGTGCAGAATAATATGGTACCATCATTTATTTCGTTGGCTTCTCATCAACTGCTTACAGCCTAAATAAATTATTATTAAGTCCATGTACAGAAAAGTTTTAACTTTTCTGGCAAATTTTACATGATGTCAGTCGTCAATAGACAAAGGAGCTCAATTCTCCTTAAGTTTGCCGAAGCCATTTCATACAAATGCTTGAAACCCGATTAATATGTTGAGAAAGAAGCAGTGATCATTTTTTTCCTTGCCCATCCTGGCAACTGCATGTCTTTATTCTCTCTCGTTCATTTGATTACGTAATCTTTGGCTTTAACTTCACCCTCTTCCCTTTGATATAGTGTAATTTTGCTTGTCTCTTGTTTCTATGATTTGAGTTGAACTCAGTACATTGTTACCTAATTTATTAGTCACTTATCATCTTACGCATCTCTCGTCTTTATTACGTAACTCCTTTATCATTGAATGCATACATTTACTTTGTTTAAACTTGAACTGCTCGTGTAAAAACCATATAAGCCTAATTTTCTGAGCATTGTTCACTAATTGTGGAACCTCCTGTCAACTGACATCATGCGAAATTTGCAAGTATGTTAAAACCATTTCTGTAAATGAACTTAATAATAATTTATTTAGGCTGTAAGCAGGTGATGAAAAGCCAACGGAATAAACAATGATGGTAGCATATTATTCTGCACAAACCACTGTTCTTCTTTTTCCTTCACGTTCCACTGTGGAACATAGGGCTTCAAGCTAGTAGCTTGAAGTTTCTGTAGCAGTGTTTAATTTTTTACAGGATGGGGTTGCTAGCCTCACGCCCAACCTTTCCTCTTTACCAGCATTATTTCTGGCTCAGTGAGGTAAAGGAGTGCGTCCAGTGACCGGGGATCGAACCCCGGACCATGTGCATTGTCGGCGAGCGTCCTAACCGCTATGCCACCAACGCACACACTAACTATTGATTCAATGCAATTTAAAACAACATGAATGTTTGATTGGTTGGAGTATTTTATCATGAGTTGACATCAGTTAGAGAAACATTGGAAAACCTGCAGGGAGCACTGTCAGACAGCTGTTTCGACGGCCTCGCTTGGGACTCTTCAACACAACGCACCCACCACCACCAGAAGGGTTCGAGCCCAGGAACTTCTGGTTACACAAGGCGAGCTAGCTAATAGACCATTCATTAGCCACTGAGACTCGCCCGATCCAATGACCAGCCAGTTCATAAATTCTAACTTCTATAAAATTCATTAATGTTGTTAATCACAGTAATATTTCTTTCATTATTATGGTTATATAAATGTAGAACCTGATGAAGATGAAGAAGAAGAGGTTACCGAAAATCTGAATACTCTTCATTCATTAATCAGTCTTTTATTTTATTAAGAAAAAAAGAATTTTGAAAGACGATTCTGGTGGAGCTACGTGGCCTGAGTTGACCAAATGCTCGAGAATTGAGCTAGTAATTGTCTTACATTGTCCCTTTGCTAACCATGCCGGATAATGTTCAGAGATACGTTTGGAAAGCGTGCGCGTGATTTCCCGTTTATATGGCCTGCCGAAAGTGCACAAAGAGAACGTGCCACTACGTCCAATCTTGGACATGACAAATTCCCCATATCATGCTACTGCCAAATGGCTAACAGATATCCTCCTACCTATCAGAAACAACCTCTGCAAGCATAGTGTTTCTGATTCGTTTGAATTCGTCGACTCAATAAATGATGCTAATGTATCTGGGAAGAAAATGATATCCATGGATGTCACTTCGCTTTTCACCAACGTTCCCCTCACTGAAACTATCTGCTTTATATGCAAATTCATTGAGGATAATAATGTAGACGTATGTGTTCCAATCCACTACTTAAAGGAACTACTATTGAGGTGCACTCTCAATGTCCAGTTCAAGTTCAACAATACGATTTATAGACAAAGAGATGGAGTGGCAATGGGGTCGCCATTGGGTCCTTTACTTGCAGACTGCTTCTTGGCCAGTTTGGAGAATAATATTTTACGGCCTACTGTCGACAGTTTCCATCTGTACCAAAGATACATGGATGATACTTTCATCATATGTGACGACAATACCGACATCGAATTGATAACTAAAGAGTTCAACAGCTGCCATCATGCCATCAAGTTCACGTCGGAATCAGAAATTAACTCGGAATTCCATTTTTTGGATGTTTTTCTAAAGAGGAGATCTCATGGTTCTCTTCAAAGATCGATTTACAGGAAACCAACATGGAATGGTCAGTAGACAAATTTCCATAGCTGGGTCCCTTTGAGAAGAAAGAGAAATCTGATCCATTCCTTATCCTCAAGAATAAGGAGGATATGTTCAAGTGATACAATCGTTGGGGAACTGGAGCGACTCAGACAAGTCCTCATAGAGAATGGATATCCTCCAAGATTTATCGAGAAAAACATGAAGCCAAGGGAAAAACCTGAAAGAATATAGACGGTGCCGAAGAAACTACTGTTTATGAGTGTTGAATTTAAAGGTGATACCACAGCTGAGATCCTGAAGAATCGCTTATGCAGATCACTGAGGAAAGCCTTCTTTATGGCTGAGCTACATATCAATTTCTACAGCCGACATATGATCAACGGATGTGTGAAGGATAAACTGCCGCTTTGGGCCACCTCAATGTGTGTTTATAAATTCACTTGCTCGTGTGGAGCTAGTTATATTGGCCGCACAAAGCGCACGCTTTCCAAACGCATCTCTGAACATTATCCGGCATGGTTAGCAAAGGGACAATGTAAGACAATTACTAGCTCAATTCTCGAGCATTTGGTCAACTCAGGCCACGTAGCTCCACCAGAATCGTCTTTCAAAAAAAAAAAGAATTATTTACCTTTCATATTTCTTCGATAATGATTTTTTCGACCACGTTTTGTTTGACTGATTACTGACTCAGTTGTGCGCAACGACGTTTTACCATCATCGTTATTCTGGCGTAGAGAAGGTTGAACAGGTTTTGATGGTAAATTCGGTGAACTGGTGTGTACATTTGAAAATGAACCAATATAATAAACTGGGACATCAGGATGCTGAGAACTGGTATTCAACTGTATAGAAGAAGAAGAACAGTGTGTAGCAGGAACTCGTCTTTTGACTGTTAGACAACTGGATGCAGCATACTTCGGTATAGGACTTAAATGCAGTGCTTTACGACCAACAACATTGTACGCATCGTCATCAACATCAAAATCTGCAGAACTTGAGGTATACAACTAAAGAGAAAAAAATTAATTAGCGATGACTGGATAGACTGCTGAGTATTCAACAAAAAGCTTTATGATTTTCAATTTAAAAGTATTAAAACAATGAGGTGGTGATCATACCAACTATTTAGTCAGGTATGTATGAATATTAGATAGTTGGAGGCAATCGACCACAGGAAGCCTTGCTTGACCTAGGTTTCGTATCTGCAAGCACCTTGAAGGAATTCATATCCTTTCTGAGATTCGAACCCGCATTACCCAGTTCCTAGGTTCAAGGCTTCCTGTGGCCGATTACCTCCAACTGTCAAATATCATCAAATACCTCCAAAGCCTCAGGATGGTCGGGGGTGGGTGCCTTGCGCTGCGGGTTGGCCACCCCTCCACACACCTCTTCAAATGCTCCCATATGACCGGATGTCTTACATAGCCTCTCCTGAGGAAGTCCTACTCACTGCCTTCACGTGGCGGAGGTGTTTTTCACCAAAGCGGGAGGGCGAAAGAGGATGCCCGGCGCTCTTCACCGGGTTGACTGTCCATTGCATGACAGTCTAGGCGAGATCGCTAAACCGTGATTCCAAACCTCCAACGACTGGCGTATGAAGCTCACTGGAGCTCACCGGCAGATGTATGGACAAAGGGCTTGTTGGATGTCCTGGATGTCTGGCCCCATTCAAAAAGGCGTATGAACCGAACTCCGGTCACCGGCTGCCAATGGATAGTGGACTCCCTACTCCACTCCTACTGCCTTGTAGGTCACACTTGGTTGTGTAAAGGCTAGAGCTGCACTCTCAAACAAAAGGCCGAACGATTCTGGGGACATCATTCGTACCAAATTCCCATGAAACTTCATGAACTCTCTTACATGGCTTGGTACAGTCAAGGCTGATATGGAGTGCCTGGGGCTACAAACCGTCTACGGACTCCGTCTGTGGAACAAGAATTGGATAACCCTGTCGCAAAACCTTGCATCAGATCGCCGCGCCTGGGCAGCGATGATTCGAGATGTTCATGAAGCCGGCTCATCCTCCCGTAGGAGATAGCTGAAGTAAAGTAAAGTAAGTAATATCATCAAATCAATGTGTACCATGATGGTAAGCTACCGAGTAGCATGATGGCGACATTGCAAACCTAACTGACTGACTGACTGAGTGAATTCAGTCTGCACCAAACAAAAGGACTAGCTGGACACGTCACACTAGTTACTAACTAGTGCCCAATCAAAATACCTACTACAGTCCTACAGGAAGAGGTCAATCGCGAGCCCGAATAGCTCCTCAGTGGTGTTCAACTCTTGTCCCTGCCGTAGCTATCATAAACAGGTAATTCTTTTATTAGTGACTATCCCACTGACTTTCTTATCCAAACTTCCTGTTTATTCATGTTATTTTAAGTTTTCCTTAATCCCTATTTACACTACCATATTGTCATATCCGAACTACCTGTCTAATTTGTCGTTTTATTGTTTCTACACATTTAATTGCTGATTGCATAAACAATTATTCGTCACATTAGTTATGATCCCACTAGATTTTGTTATCCAAACATTCTGTATATATATGTATATATATTTTTTTCCTTCACATTCCCAGTGGAACATAGGGCCTCAAGCTAGTGGCTTGAAGTTTCTGTAGCAGTGTTTAATTTTTTACAGGATGGGGTTGCTAGCCTCATGCCCAACCTTTCCTTTTTACCAGCATTATTTCTAGCTTAGCGAGGCAAAGGAGTGCGTCCAGTGGCCGGGGATCGAACCCCGGACCATGTGCATGTTCGGTGGCGAGCGTCCTAACCGCTATGCCACCGGCGCACAACATTCTGTCTATTGTTGTTATTTCTACATTTCTAACCCCCTAATTACACGTTATATCAATCTTCTCAGTAATTATGATGCTACTCTGTCCCCCTTTTTTATTATGGCATTTTAATTTCCTAATTGTAATTCTATTAATCTGACCCTTGACGAGAAATTATTCTAGAACTTCCCCAACCATTTATTATTATTATAAATAATACACGAGAATGTACAGCTGTCTACCTAGTTGATGATTTCGTGGAAAAGAAAATTTTCTTTCTTCGCTGCAACTGTCTTTTTATTAATGCTTATGATAGAATTCAGTCTGCACCGACACACAACAAGGAGTGTAGATACGCATGACATTAGCGACTACTAGGCTCAGGGTATCTAGTCAAAAACAACTTTATCACAACATACAAGACTAATATATGTATATATGGAGCTTGTATAAGTTGTTATACTTACCACATTTGAATCTGTTAGTGAACAATTACAATCACAATCATCATTATCATAATGCAGAGTAGTTGTTCCACATAGAATCTGATTATTATTATAATAAATATCTAATCTTGGAGCTAATGAACCATTCGGTAGAAATCTAATCACATATCGAATTGAACAATACGACCGTAAACAGGTAAGCTGTGTACAAATGAAAAAAGGAAAAGAGGTGAATAATTTACTCGTTACACGATTTCATCATGAGCTGACACATGTGGTTAGAGAACCATTGGAAAACCTGCCAGGGAGTACTGTCAGACAGCTGTTCATATCGCCGTGGTTTGGGACTCTTCATCAGCACGCACCACCCACCCACCGACAGCGTTCGAACTCAGGACCTTCTGGTTGCAAAGCTAGCAAGCTCGTAGACCATTCATAAGCCACTAGGACCCGATCCAATGGCCAGTCCATGAATTCCAATTTCTTCTGGCCAATTGACTACATAGCGCGACCGCTAACCAATGTCTTCGGCGAGTATTTGTCCTCACACCCGACTGGTCACGACTTCCCACTAGAACCCCAAGTCCCAAACTAGGCTGGCGAAACAGCTGTCCGGCAGTACTCCCTGCAGGTTTTCCAATGGTTCTCTAACCGATGTCAGCTAATGATGAAATCTCCTGTAACCAATCAATCAAATTCCTACAAATCAATAATTTATTCATCAACTGAGAAGTTTTATGCCAAAACACACGAACGCAGACACATAAACATACACACACGCACAAAACAAGTTCATACCTGCAACAATTCAGCTGAAAAAGTAATGGCACGAGTAAACAAAGCAACATAAACGACAATGTAGGAGTAACTATTTTGGGCACTATGATAGAGTATCATTCCATACTAGATAAGTTTATTTTATACAATACACGGTGATTTTTTTTCATTCCTTTACGTTCCCAGTGGAACATAGGGCTTCAAGATTTAGCCTTGAAGTTTCTGTAGCAGTGGTGTTTATTACTTTTACGGGATGAGATTGTTAACCTCAAGGGCCAAGTTAAACTTTAAGCACCACTAACTACCAATCAGCGAACGACCTCGAATGGTCCAATGAAGTTCATCCACGTGAGTTCAAGGTTGTATAGCGCTTGATTCGTATCAAATGCGTGCCCTAACGAACTTGCGCTTGCAGTTTGAGGAGGATAAGGTTTTGCAGTATTGCCTGGATTTTAGGTTGTTTAGGAAGGAGAGGATTTGTTCATGTGCTGGTATCATAAGTTTAAAAAGCTTTAGCAGGTCGATTGATGGATATGTCCATCGTCGTGCACTTTGCTTGAGAAGACTTAGTATTAGGGACGGTAAGCTGATAATTTTAATATTTCGTAGGAACATTTTTTGCTAGGTCGCTTCTCTCCCTAACCCAGATTTTGTATATTTGTAACTAATGGGTTTTAAAACAGCCTGTGAGAGGCGCAGCTGCTGAAACCGAAAATAGCATCGTTTCAACAGTTCAGTGGTACCAGCACTGCAAAGATATCGCATCATGGAAAATGGAGAGAATTACTTCATTGTTAAGCGGAGAAGGTATCGTCGCACATGTGGACGAAACTATGCTACTGAAGAAAAAACAACCGTGGTCCTGAGCGAGTCAACAATGTTTAGGTGACACCTCCCTGCAGAAAGGATTCGTGGAGAGAATTCCAGACAGAAAGTCTACTACCTTAATACCTATTGTCACACGACTTGTGAAACAGGGATCCATGGTACATAATGATGAATGGAAAAGTTATGACTCGCTGTCACCTCTTGGATATATTCATCGCAGAGTGAACCATTCCAGTGATTTTGTGGATTCAATTACAAGGACACACATGAATTCTATAGACGGCTTTTGGGGAAGATTAAAAAACAGGATTAGGGCTATAAATGGATCTCAAAAGGATGTCATTTATAGTCATTTGGATGAATGTATGTATAGAATGTGGTGTAACTTTTCTATTGACACTCCTATGCTAAATTGCAAGATGTTTCTGTCACGTGCTAGGGAAAGATACCCTATGTAACCGTTTTATGCAGTTATTATGTATTTTTTCCATAAATATACGTTTTCTTTAATCAAAAATCCCTCTTTGGTGCGATTGGTCCGTTAAAGGTCGTTCTTTGATTGGTAGTTAGTGGTGCTTAAAGTTTAACTTAGCCGCCTCAAGCCCGACACCTTTTCTCCTGATCCAGGTTGTCACCAGCGAAGGGGGAGGCAAAGGTGTGCACCGGCCGGGACTCGACCCTCGGACCACGTGCATGGTCGCCAGCCAGCGCTCTACCGCTGAACCACCAACGTACAACACACAGTGATGATGCGGTGTATTAATAACTGGATGATGTTTGGAGCATAAATTATTGCCAGTCATAATCATATATCAATTTAGTTACACGGTTTCATAAATTTTCTTTTAATATACATTTGATCTCTTTCTCTCAGTCTCTCTTCCCCATGTTGTTTGTTGTCACTTTCCAAATCTCTTCGATTTCACATGTGCAGTGTTGAATTGATAAACGAAGATTCAGTGATTTATCTGCCTGCCCCTCTTCACCTAACTATATTACTTTTTAATACTTTCACCCTGTGTTCCACCCTACCGTGTGGAATACGATCAATTATTCTAGATCTAGCTGAATTCCTATATTTCGACAATCTGATTGACTCTGATCTACTTAGTTCGACCTATGTGTAATTGACCTCACAAACTTTCATTACATGGTATTTAGTAAATTAGGTTATTTTTCTTAATCGGATCTATCGAGCGGGTTCTTAAGCCTATAAAGTCTATCTCTGCGCGAGTTCGTCGGTTTAAACGCAACCCTGATACCAACTTCATTGAGAATTCTACGTAAGGCATATATCTTGTTTCTATTTGTGATAGTCGTGTGAGTTTATTGAGGTGTGACTAAATTTGTGGTGGTGTGATACAGACAATGTGTTCCAACAACAACGGAATATGGTTCTCACATATTCCCACAGTTCAATATTTGCATTAGCAACAGAATACCATATATATGTACTTGAACCATTCTATTTCACGTCGTATTAACGTTAAACCAAAAGCACATGCTCAGGGATTAGTTTAAGAATATATATATATATATATATATATATATATATATATATATATATATATATAGGTCATACTTTTTAACCAGTCACTGAGCGTGTGATTTTGCTTTACACCACACCACACGACATGGCTGGCTGGCTGGTTTCAACGTAGAACTTTGCACGAATGTGCAGCAGTTCGAGTCGCCACACTTCACTTAGCACACAAAGCAAAAGAAGAAAGTAAAAAGAAATGCAAAACAGAGACAGTAAACAGAGATACGAGGCAAAAAGAATAGTAATATCGAAGAAACATATAGTTTTATTGCACATTATAAGTCACAAGGAGTGGATGCATCTGCACCAGCCATTGAGAACGATTTTGAGCCATGTCACCGATCGTTTTCAGCCATTGGTTTCTGCCGTCCCGAGGACCCCAACCAGTCAGGAAGTCTACACCTTCCTACGTGGCTTAAACTAACTGTTGTAGATTTCATTGACTGGTGAGGCTATGCTTTGATTTGACCGCCGCTAGCTCCTTCCCAACCTGACCCCATGTCAGCTAACATCATCCTCCAAAAGCCTCAGGATGGTCGGGGGTGGGTGCCTTGCGCTGTGGGTTGGCCACCCCTCCGCACACCTCTCGAAATGCTTCCATATGACCAGGCGTCTTACATAGCCTCTCCTGAGGAAGTCCTACTCACTGCCTTCACGTGGCGGAGGTGTTTTTCACCAAAGTGAGAGGGCGAAAGCGGATGCCCGGCGCTCTTCACCGGGTTGACTGTCCATTGCATGACAGTCTAGGCGAGATCGCTAAACCCTGATTCCAAACCACCAACGACTGGCGTATGAAGCTCACTGGAGCTCACCGGCAGACGTATGGACTAAGGGCTTGTTGGATGTCCTGGATATCTGGCCCCATTCAAAAAGGCGTATGAACCGAACTCCGGTCACCGGCTGCCAATGGATAGTGGACTCCCTACTCCACTCCTACTGCCTTGTAGGTCACACTTGGTTGTGTAAAGGCTAGAGCTGCACTCTCAAACAAAAGGCCGAGCGATTCTGGGGACATCATTCGTACCAAATTCCCATGAAACTTCATGAACGAGAGTTCATGAAGCCGGCTCATCCTCTCGTAGGAGATAGCCGAAGTAAAGTAAAGTAAGTAAGTAACATCATCCATCGAGGAAGGCGATGGCTAGGCATGCGTAACACATTTCCTAACCACTTCAATCGATGTAACTTCACAGCCTCGTCGATTGATTTCCCCTCCTTATCTAGCACTCACTCCATTGATGCCTAACCTCAATATTGCTCACCCTATTATACCATTTCACACGGGAGATAGAACGCAGACACCTATGATCAAAGACAGCTAGCCAATCTTTTCATGTCTTCCACTCTCAATGGCCAGGTCTCACTCGCAGCCATAAAGGAGGACCGAGCGGACTGCTGAGCAGCACACACGCCCTTTGGTCGATAGCCAGCCGGATACCACGTCTACGCCAGAGGCGGCGTAAACTGGCATATGCGAAACTAGCCCTCTGTATCCGTGCTGAAATTTTGTCGGTGACCAACCCGTTGGGGCTGATGGTACTTCCTAAATAAGTGAAGCGGTCAACGTGCTCTACCACTTCACTTCCTATTTCTAAGCTAGGACTCAGTGTCGTCCAGTCCTGTAACATCATCTTACATTTGGTGGGAGCGAATCGCATGCCGAACATCCCCATATTGCAGCTAAAGGTGTTCAGAAGACTCTGCATTTTGTCAGCGTCTTCAGAATGTTCAATTATACATGGTGTTCTGTTGTCAATGCAGTAGATAACCGTGGGAAAGGGATTCTGTCTCTAACATCAAATAGAATGTTCAAATAGATGTATCGTATTTTGTTGCTAATGTCGAATTGAACTGTGGGAATATGTGAGAACCATATTCCATTGTTGTTGGAACACATTGTCTGTATCACACCATCACCACCACCACAATCTAATCATATGGAATAACATAAACAGGAAATAATTAACAAAAGATTCAACATATAACTCACGAGATTCTGTAATATATTCAACACATGTTGAGACATATTTTCGAATTAGAACCTGCGCTACACTACCACTACTGCTGTTACTTCGTCACGAATGACAATGTTGTGTGTATATTAACTGTAAAGGAATCTAATAATAAAAGAAATAATGAACATTACTCACTAGCTAGAATCAATACATAAGTCATATGACATGAAATAACAGTGCTGCTTAACAGATGCTTTGAGATGAAATACACATTGATATGTAAACACATTTTGCGATACTGCTGTTGCCGTAGGTAGAGAGGTAATTGAGTCTCAGCAACTACTGGAGACGATAAACTCTATATACCTCATGGTGTCACAATACATGTATTCGAATCTGTGAGAACTATAAGGTTTTCTCTAAATAGATAAATTATGATGATGATAATAATAATTATTATTATTCCCTTGGATTCCGAGTGGAACATATAGTTGTATCAGCACTTCACCATTTCATCCTTTTTAGCTGGCGCCACGATTACCTATCAGCTCTCATCTCCCCTTCACATGATCTCCTCCATTTCAGCCTAGGACGCACACGCAACTTGTCGTTTCCTAATAGGGTTACAGTCTACGGCCTTAAGCGTGATGTCACTCAACGTTCTGCTCAATATGTATCCAATCCACTTCCATTCCCTTTGGTATATTTGGCGCTAACAACAACAACAACCACAACAAGCACCAATAATTATCACTCATTTAGGAATCACCGTTTCAACTACAGACGACAGCAGTCACGAGGATGTCAAAGCTGGTCAGAATTGGAAAGGCAAGACAGACAGACATTCATCACTCTGTAATCAGTTTGGAAAGCTGCTTTCCTCAGCATAAACAAAAGAAATTCGGATTTTCAACACCAATAGGTTAAGTCAGTCACTTCTTCTGCATGTGACTGTCTGAGAAACTTGGCGAACACGTCACGCGAAGCATTTCTAACAGGTTAATGTGTAGAATAATTTCACCAACAGCTGCCTGCTTCGCTCCAGGCTGAAGATCAGATGACCGGCCAGACAGTAAATAGCAACAAGAAACTCTGGGAAACTTTTGCTCAAGAAATATTCCGGAGAAAGACGGACAGACGGATCGGACACACGCGCTGAGGAGACTGTTGGATGACATCGCATGCCAAGCTAGCCCTCGACTGGGAAACGATGAGTTAAGCGTCCAAGGGTGACAAGGAGGAGATTACGTGGCGCGATGTGATGAAGGCTTATAGGTAATAATGGTGGCATGGAGATGTGCAGTTTAAACACAGTGTTTCACTCAGAACCCAAGGGGATAATAATAATAATAATATCTGATATCAGATACTGATTACGTCATGAAGGATGATACATATTAATTAAAAGATGTAAAGAGACTAAATAAAAATGGAATCACCCCTCGCCTCCCTTATTAGATATCTGCCTTGAAATAGTATGTTCGAATGAGATTACAAGATTACATTCGGGAATCACAAAATCTAAGGATATTCACGTACACTGACCTAAATCTTTGTTCATGTAAACTTTGGGATTTAAATATAATAATAATAATAATAATAATAATAATAATAATAATAATAATGATTTACTTTATTCCAAAAACAGTACTTGTGATACTGAATGGAATTTTCAGCATTAATCACAATATCTTGCATCTAATTTCCTCAAATTATAAATAAAATTAATCACACAGAAAATTTTTCACATTTACAATAGGGGTAATGTCAAAAACATGCAGCATATAAAATGGAAATAATAATAATAATGATAGCAGCTAAGGTAATGATAATAATACAAGTGGAAATTGCCGTGGGCTTGTTTCACACAGTACTGTCGATGTGGTATACAAATCCTTGCATGATTAAAAATATTGAATATGATGTTCTCTTTACATGATATGGTGAGGGAAAAAACAAAGATTACAGCAGTCATAGAGATAAGTTAGTGTTTGCAGTTATGAAAGTGAAAACAAAGAATCAACAGAACCATAAATATAATAGAAATAATAGAAGCAAAACTTGAAGGTATATCAATATGGATGGAGGAGATTGTTTATTTACTAGATGAAAAAAGATTAGTCAATTCTTGCCTGACACTATTTTCATCACATAAAATACGTGCCAAGTATGGTATCATAGAATTTTTATACTTTTATACAGTTTTCTGAAGTTACTTCTTGTTCTACCAGAGGAGATGCAAGGTGAAAGCTGAGGGTAAAGTGGATGCTCCAAGTCAGACAAAATCCCTTTAGCAAATTTATTGCACGAAGTCAAGTGTCTGTCGACAACAACGTTAACTATGTGGTCCACTGGGACACCACTCACCCTACTGACAGTCTTCAGCATTCTACGAATTGTGACAAAGTCCTTTTTAAGCAAACCAGGAAAGAATAAGGGTGAACAATAAAGAAGAATAGGTAGGATGCAAGAGTTTATGAACTGTAAGAGCAGGAGGGGTTGAGTTATACCCGAGTGCCTTAACTTCTTAATGTAAATAAAATGTCAGGCGGAATATTTTACTGGAGATCGCTGAGACATGGAAAGACCAGGAGAGATCAGAAGAGAGAATAAGTCCAAGATACTTAATTTCTAATTTAATTCCTATATCATTGTCGTCAATCTTACAACTATCATGAGAATCGACGGCTTCTTTTAACTGTCGTTTACATCTTAAGCTGAAATTTACAGTTTGACATTTAGAAGGATTCAGTTTAAGACTGTTAGACTCAGACCATTTACTGATGACTCTGGACAGAAAGTACTTGACAGCTGTTTCGTCCTAATTTGGGATAAGAATTCATGACCAGTGGACTGCACACACAGTCGGAAGTGAGGACAAATACTCACCAGCGATGACATTGTCTGGTGCCAGTCGCGCTAAAATCACGAATTGATAGAAGTCAGAAATCATGGGCCATTCACAGTCAGGTCCTAGTGGCTGAATGGTCTACGAGCTAGTCTTGTAATCTAAAGGCCCCAAGGTTCGAACCTTGACGGTGGATGTCCACTGACGATGAGTCCCTAACTAGGACAAAGCAGCTGCCCAGTACTCGCTGCTGGTTTCCAGTGATTCTCTAACTGATATCAACACATAGTCAAAATTGAATCAAATCAGATCCCTATAAACTACTGAATATGTTTAGTAATAATCGACAGTCCCTCAATACAAATATAAAAACTTTTTATCACACGCAGTTGAATAATACAATATCTAAATAGTGAGTACCACACATCAAGGTGCTTTTAAAGTTTGAGAAATCAGTTACAATAAATAACACGCTTTATTTAGCCCATTGTATTTCGAACAACAAAATAAATGAGTGGAGTGTCTTATAAGTAAGTGCCTGAAATATTTACCTCGTCCGACAGTTACAACACACTCCCCCCATCAAGGCCTGTCGTAAACTGTCGACACTACATTATAACAATGGTCAAAAATTGTCGTTTACAACTCATATCTTAACATCTCTTGCCTTGTCATCACTTCACGCTAAGGAATTCATGGGTTGTCAGCAGCACACTATCACGAAATGATCGAAGCTAGAATTCAAGGGTAGTGGAATTCCAAACCAGTGACTTCATATAGTCAGTGAACTAGCTTCGTAACCTGAAGGTGTTGGATTTAAATCCTAGTAGAATTGTGGGTAAATGCTGCTGAAGAGACTCCAGACGGAAGTCCAGTGCTCCTCCTTAATTCTCTTAGTGGTTCTGTAACTCTACACAATGTCAACTCATGACGGAATAAAGTCCTTACAAAACACCATGCAAATAAAATATCAAAACAAACGCCAAAAAAATAAAGAGCTTACCTTCGAAAATTGTTTAAACGAAGCTTAACCAGACGAATATTTACCTTCGCCTTATATATACTTCATTTTACACCAAATATAGAAGTAATTTCTGACCAATGTAATTTGTCCTAGATTTATATGAAAGTAAACACAGTTAGAGATAAGTAAAGAAAAATGAAACATGAGGGAAGGGGAGAGGAGAGAAGGGGTGAGAAAATGATGATGATGGTGGTGGTGACGGTGGGGGGGGGCAGGGTTACAATTACAGGTCAGAGGTCGTAAAATGTGTAATACGGTCGCCTTATCAGTTTCGTCAATGAATGAATGATTAATCATTATGAAATCCAACAAAAAAAGAAATTTTGAAACTTGATGCTTCAATTGTTTCCTCGCATGAAAACAAAAGGTTAAGACAAATATGCCTGGCATTTAAAACAACAATATTAAGATCTGATCAGGAAGATAAGATTAAGCATTGTTTCTAACGCCAATAATGATTAATTAAGCCTCAGTGGTAGGAGGTAGTGAAAGCAATTGTCTGTCATAACCATAAGATGATAATTATTAGAAAAGTAAGAAAGCTTAAAACAATATCGAGAATTCTATACTAAACTATAGTAAGACATTATGGTTTTAAATGATGTCAAACTTGAGCGTTAGTCAATAAGTATTTTACACAATGAATAAAAGTATTGTGTTGCTGAGCTATTAACTTCTCTTCTTCTTCTTTTAAAACTAATTCTTTCTAATAGATGATGAGTCATTCGTTTTGACAGATGGTTGGTTATTCATCAATCTGATCTGTTATCTTAAGAACAAAGACTAATGACAAATGGATCACTTATTATAAGTGCCACTTTGGCAAGTTTAAAAATAACACTTTAAAGTTTTTTTAAAAAAAAAAGGCCTTCACACTTAAACTACACTCTGCCTAAACAAAGATTGAAGCCCACGCTTATCTCAGATATGCAGAGGAGTTTCTTCTTGACTTAATCATTTGACTTGTAAACAGTCGTCAATCGGTTCAGGTTTGAAATCCCACTAGGTCAGGTCCACTTCAGCCTGGACAAATGGGTAGTAGCGCATAGGCTATTAATTACCAGAAAGAAAGTGTTCCATGTAACGTGTTTCAACAAGAAATGATGGTGATATTTCCAAGCAGAATATATATTTAGAAGACAAAAGAAAGTTTGAACAAAGAATATTCTTTTTGATAACTTCCTTGTTAGGCTTTACGG